GCTCCTGGGCAGGTGCCTCTGCTGCATCCCCATGTCCGTGTCGTCCCCGGGCACGGGGCTGCGGGTGTCCGTAGTGCCCCTGGTACCCAGGTGAGGACACATGTGCAGTCCCTGGGGCTCAGCGATGTCGTCGTCTGTGCCATCCTCAATGCTGCCCTTGCTGCTTGGCTCTCCCTGGCATGGGATGCACCCATGCCAGGGGGAAGCACCAAGGCCGGGATGCACCATGGCAGCCTACGTGGACAGTCTTGTTCCTTGGGCTGCCAGACCCCATGGAGATACCACTTTTAGCTGCCAGGACCAGGTAGCCACAATGCYAGGACAAATGGACCTGAATGTCCCCGCTCGTGTCTGTCCATCCCCTCCTGCCACGTGCCTGGCTCCTGACCCATTGCTGGCACTGTGGAGGGCTGGAGCAAGCGGGCCAGGGCTCGGCCCTCGTGCTCGGGGGGCTGCCGGGTGGTGGGGACGGCGGGTGCGGTGAGACAGGGCTGCAAATGTGCTCAGCTGCTGCTGCCTCTGCCTGCAGAGCTGACAAGGCTGGGCCAGCATCACGGGGTCTCCACCAGGCTGCCAGCCCGGCTCAGGGTTGCTTGTRCAGAGACCCAGCAACCCCAAGAGAACCTACAGGGCAGAAAGATGAAGACAAGCAGTGGCATCTACCCCATCTCCCCTGCTCATGGTGCGGTGAGCAGCAGGACGAGGGTCAGGCTCTGCCCGCGGCGCTGGGYTGGGCACAGTGCCCTGTCTGGCCACCCCCTGTCCCAGCTGTGGCCATCGGCGTGAGGCCTCCCGGGTCCACGGGAGCCAGGCCTGCTTCCCACAGGGCTGGGTGGGAGCTGTGAGCTCCCAGCTTCTCTCYAGCCATCTCCCGACCCACRGTTAGACAGGAGCARGATGGGGCAAGATCCTAATGGGAGCTAGGGCCTGGCTGCGGCCCAGCAGCCRTCTTGCCCCCAGGCCCAGCTTGCAGCAAGGGTGTCACAGCAAGTGCCATGGCACAGAGGGACACTTGGGAAGCGCCACAAGGAGCACGGTAAATGCTGGGTGCAAAGCAGGGGGTATGCRGGTCCCCTGCTGCCCCATGTCCTCAGGGAGCGAGCCCCAGGCCAGGCTTGCTGGGACTGCCCTTGGAYTGGGGAGATGAAGGGAGCACGAGGGGCCACAGCCAGGAAAGAGAGCAGGGWGAAGGGGGAAAGGAAGGCAACGAGATGGGAGAAGGAATCCCTGTGGCCTTGGGCRCACGGCGGGAAGCCGGGCGCCAAGAGGGGCCGGGGAAGCAGATGTGCGCGGCCGGGCGGCAGGCAGCGCGGGCTCACGGCCGCCCTGACGTCAGCAGCACTTTCGGTTTC